ACCTCAATTTCGCTACATTCATCACTTTGTTCTGCAAAATATAAATTGCATAGAGTTAAGCTATATTCCAACATTTTAATCAACGATTGCTCATGTTTTGACAGTAAAATAAATATGTAAAAACACACTTATCAAGGTGTCATCACAAAAAGACCAATGTCGACATTTTCCATTTGCAAGTTGTTAACGACATCGATGCGTTCAACAACTATCTGTGGGGTCGGTGATGTTTTGACGACACCGTACACGTCTTCACCAGATCACACTAAAAGCCAAGGGGTCCATGCGTTACGATACATATGGATTGCCCTTGGTAATGCAGGTAAATGTTTAATATAATCAAAGTTAAAAAAATTTTATACTAAATTTATATATAATAAGTGTATGTGTTTCAGATCTGAGCATATGAGACGATTCCCCTCTTGGTTACTCGATTTTCCAGGCGAGAAGAGATACGCAGCTCTCGGATGTATCATGGCGAGCATCCTGAGCAGACGAATGTCCGTCCAGCAAACAATTATCAGCCCTCCTCGATCACCCTAGGGTGAATATTAGACTTTGTAAATTTATATTGTATGTCATTTCAGAATTTCATCACATGATCATTAACTTGTTGAAACGTCAATATGTTAGCTTGAGGTTCTAACCTAGTTGACGTCGTCGATGGAGGAGGGTCAAGATTTTGTACATGAATTAGCCGTTTCGTATACTCCACGAGACCAGATGTTCGATTCTATCCGGGATAGAGATCTGGTATGAGAATTGAATATAATTTATTGATTATCATTTTATATGAGTTAGCATATTTTAACTTAGTTAAGAATTTTAAATGTTATTTGTATAGGAGTGCGATCCAATTGATCGACGATCACCTCCGCCGTCGAGGGGACCACCTCTGTCCTCGATGAGATCACCTCTGCTGCTGATGAGATCTCATTCTCCTCCTTCCGGAACCTCCCCGTTGATCTCCTGCACACAGTGATCTGTATGTCCTTCTGATTGGATTTATGGTGGAGATGAGGTAGGAGGTGGGCACCTTATGAGGGAAGGTAGGGGCGCTGCGACGAGATATTAAGTTTACGTCAAGATATTGTAATGCTCCGCAGCTGTGTATCAGACCGTGGGGTGGAGGTCGTAGCTCTCTGAGACTATATAGCAAGAATAAGAGGAGACTGATGATTAATGGGACGACGGAGATGGTGACCGAGAGGGTGATAGAGATCGTGATCCCTTACCATTGTAACAAATGATGCATTTTGGACGAGGACGGAGGTGGCATTGATGATAGAGGTAGAGGTATTCGAGGCGGAGTCGTTGGTGTAGAGAGTAGCGGAGGCTGAGGGGGTGGCGGTCGAGGGGGTGCCCCCAATGATGGAGGAGGGGGTGCCTCCGATGACAGAGGAGGAGAGGACGCCGGTCGTGACAAATGGTAAGAAGCGTACTATTAATGTGCCAGTACATCGTATCTCCATTTACGGCTGAGGTGAACAGTAGGACGTTCGTCTACGGGACATACTCCAATCTTTTCCAAGAGGTAAATCATGCCAAATGGAAGGTGTTCAAGACGGTTGGAGAAGAATTATGTCGGGGTAAGTATTTTACAATTTCAATGAAATAGGCTACGCTAACTCATCTATACTTCTTTTAACATTTTTTCAGTTTATTTTTTCAGAGATAGCCGTATTGTGGGGGATGGGGGAGGACGATCCCGAAAGCTTATAACTGGATTCATGACATCACCACTTTGAGAACTTGGCTCACCGACGATGTAAGTAAAATAGTCATATTNTTCAGAGCTAGCCACAAAATAGTTGAAAGTCAATCACTGATGCCTATAAATGGTTTCATAACGTCACGACTTCAGGAATGATGTAAGTGTAATATCGCAATTGTTATTTATTATGTATACATAATTTTTTTGTTTATTAAATGAAATAACTCCCTAAATTTTTTTAGAACAATGCTACTGTTATAGGAAACAAATTCTGTAAAAATAACAGAACACACACATGGGGTGGGACCCATTTTTCATAATAGTATTTTATTCACATGGGGCCCACCCCCATGTGAGTATTCTGGCATTTTTACAGATGAAATAGTTCTGTGCAAGTAGTTTAATTGATTTTTTTATTGGTGTTTTCGATATAGCACATCAACTTGGCTATGGACTTATTGCGCGATCAGGCTCGAAGATATCCAAAATCATTCGACATTCCTGACCGACTCATATTGAGCACCGAGTTTGTACGTACTGTTACCAATGAGCATCAGTCGTTTCAACTTATCGGTAATGAGTACATGTTGTCCGAATATATGGCCGAGTGGGTTGTAAGGATGTGGTCGAGTATTGGGGGAAAGCTATGGGAGGGTTATACGCATATATACATTCTAGTGATCGTGAATCATCACTGCATTGTCGTTGAGATAGTCTTTGCTGATTTCACTATATATGTGTACGATTTCGACCATTCATGTCTAACACAGGACCATTCGAGCATAACTTAGAGCCGGTAGATGTGATCGATCCCTTGATGGCTGTCCGAGCCGGTGTGATTGTGAAGGACATACTAGCAATAGTGCGGGACACGACGATGGTGAGACAGTCGAGATTGTAAGTATTTATAATTTTTTAACTTGAAAACTTAGTTTTTAGCTACACAGTACCGAACTAAAATATATTAAATTTTTTAGTATAGGACAAAATGTTGATGGAATCAACCAATCATTGATACAAAATTGGAGGAATAAATTAACGTACGATTTGTATGAATTCGAATGTGATTCGTAAACATTTTATATTTAATTGTTCATTTATTTATGAAATTATTGTAAATATTGTAAAACTCATATAAATATTGTATATTTAATTGTTCATTTATTTTTGAAATAATTGTAAATATTGTAAAATTCGTATAAATATTGTATATTTAATTATTTATTTATTTATCAAATATTTATAAATATTGTAAAACTCATGTAA